AAATTGGGGGATAGGGGAGGAGGTATAATATTGCTACAGCAATGGCAGCTAGAACCCTTGGCATAGACGCCAAGGAATGATGCACTTCCAACGCAACCGAAGCCGCAAGTGCGTTGACCAGGTATATTTGACAGTCTAAACCTAGAAATATATATATATATATTTAAATATGCTTCATGCTTGTTATTTTTATCAGCAATGTTTCCTGTAACCATATAAAATAAACCACTATTTTGCTAATGATCATATTTTAAAAGGCTCCTTTAATTAAGAGGGTAATAAATATATTTTTTTATAATTAATTTATATAAAAAATTATAAAATTTAATATTTATTTTAATACTATTAATACATGAACAATTTAGTTAATTAATTAATTTAAATTTAACATTTATCCATTTTATACAAATTAATTATAAAAATATATATTAATTAAACTCTCTAACCTATAACATATAAGGTACATATTAAAAAATTATTAAAAAAGAAAGAGAAATCGATGAATTTGACCTCAATTATATTTCGTTTCCCAAGAAATAAATAAATAATTTCTCCCCCTAAACAAATTAATTAATCTTGAGAGGTTTCTGTCATTTGTGTTGTGTTTTTCCCTCCACCACAAACATATCACATGAAATCCATGACTGTTATTTCTCAACCTAAATATCTTTTCCTTTTTCAAAATTTTTTCCTACCCTTTAATTGTTCAGTTGTGAGTTCTCGTGATTATTGAACCTACTATCATTTATGTCTTTTGTGATGTCCTTAACCATATTAGAGCTAGACCTTGGACGCGAACCTTCTAACAAATTGAGAAAGGATGGTGCTAGCCTAGAAGCAAGAAGAGCCTATTAGTTATATAAATGATGGTAATTAAATAACAACTTTCTCTTTTTTTTGGTAAATATCTAAAAAGCCATTATTTTCCAAATCAATGTAAAAAGTGAAAATTTGTTTACATTGGTTAGATTACGCAACTAGTTTTAACTTATTATATTATTTTAGTTGTTAGAATAATTTTATCTTAATTTGTGTGCTTATAAAGATTACTTTTTTTTTATCAATTATCATGAAATTAAATTAAACCATTACTCAAAAAAAAAAAATAAATCTTTAAAAAAGTGACGGATGTTCCTCAACTTTATAGGTCAGGTTCAAAACTACCTTTTTTTTTTAATTTAGTTAAAATAATTCATTCATATTTTAATTAAAAAACTCATAAAAATTATTTTTTTATAAATTCGTAACTGTTGTAATAAATGCCTTAATTTATTTTTCTCTTACAAAAAGAAAAGCACCAGCACATTTTTTTTCTTATCTCCAAGTTGAACACTTTTTACCGACTTGATTCCCCTATTAACTAACTACTGTGGATCTTTGATAAATACATGCTTGCCCTTCGATTAAAAAAGAGAAATATATACTTAGAGATGACAAGAAGTTCTGTAAGGGCAAGGATTTCTTCCCCATTCTTGTCTTTATCAATGGCAAGCATGATGATCCTTGTGGAGATTTTTAACTGGGATAAAAAATACTCTCCGTCTTCATCTTTGTAAGGAATGGTAAATCCTTGCAAGTATGTGAATTTCTCACTAACTATTAAAATTGTAAAATTTAACTTTTTTTAAAAAATAAATTTTATAACATTATATAAAAAGTAATTCATAGGATATAAAAGTAAAAACTTACAAAGGTGAAAAATATGTAAAAAATTTCACAAATACCACAAAAAAGTACTACATAAAGAAATAAAAAGAGAGTAAAAATTTGAAATAAATTAGGTTTTATGTTTTTGTTAATATATTATAATCTATAAAAAAAATAAACTTAAGTTAGGTAAAAATTAATTGGGTTTTATGTTTTTGCATATATATTATAAATTTTTAATTTTTTTTAGTATATACAGATCTTTGTGTGGACTCAGGTAAAAATTAATTGGGTTTTATGTTTTTGCATATATATTATAATTTTTTAATTTTTTTTAGTATATACAGATCTTTGTGTGGACTCATGGCATGAAGAAAATTTCTTATGAAATTTTATTGAGGAAAAGTTGTCACCATCCTCATCCTACAGAAAAGAATAATTTTTGAATCTTTATTCGTATCATGGGTATCTCTACAGCTTTTAGAGTAAATTATCATCCCTATAAATGCTTGACCTAATTAGTTTAATTTTTCTCCTTTTGGAATAAATATTTAAGATTAGTTTCTTAGGACATATACAATGGGAACAATAAAAAAGCTTAATATTGTGATATATTATTATAATTAATATTATTTATATAAACTTATATTTTTATATATTTAATTTTCAAATAAAACATCTATAAAATACTTTCTAAAGTATATAATAACAAACAATAAAAAATTTATTCTTATGCTATATTATATCACAATAAATATTATTTTATATAAA